AAAACCAGCCAAGCCTGTTTCCACGGCCGTCAGACGGAGCAGAGGGGAAGCCCCAGCGTTTCCACCTGGCTCGCACCTCGCCACCGGCGCATCCCAGCGACCGGCGAGCTAACAGTGTGCAGCATGCTCGCCGTCTTCAAGGCAGACCTGGGCCCCAGGCTGCCCCGGCATCCAGCCCCCAATTCAGGCAGGAATTACCTGGATTAAACTCTTTTTGGACGCTGAGCACAAGGCGGGACGTGCCCGCAGCATGCCGAGAGGTCTGCGGAAGGGAGCGTGCTTTGGGTTCGTTTTGACACCAACACGTCTACGTTCCAAGGAACCGCGTTACCAACACGTACTCCCTTCCGTGGGAAGAAACCCTTGACCGGCAGGGCAGCACGCGCTGCTCGAGCGCTGCAGGTCCCGTGACAGAGCCCGGGATCTCCTCGGCAGCGGGAAGCCGAGCGTTGTGCTGTCGAGCAAACGCGGGTGTTCCTACCCTCGATGGTCTTTCTGCTTGTTTTCCATATTAAAAGGCTCAGAAGGCACTGCCACCAGCCTGGTTGGGGTCTGACCGAGCGTGGTTCAGCCTCTTAAGCTCCTTCATGCCAGGGGAAATAACAAAACTGCTGGAATAGCAGCATTACTGCGTGTCTCGTTCTGCTCCCCAGCCAGCGTTCCTTGAAGACCGGCGTGGATGGAAGCAGGATCACTCGCCCCATCTTTTCTTTTCAAAGCTGTTTGCCCCACTCCTGCTCTTATCGCGCCGCAGCCAGGCAGCTCAAAGCGCATTAGTTACATGCCCTCGCTCGCACTCTTGCCAGCTTCGGCAACTTCAGTTAACTTGCAGCAAGCTGAGATAAGAATTCCGCCTTTAGGGGAAAGGATCGATCCTTAACTGTGCCTTGGAGCCTTATTTCACACAGAGCCCTAAGGAATTTCCAATGCATCTTCACTCTAAACTCCTGTTTCCTTCTTTACAGCTCTGCCTCTGAAAGCAACGTAAAAGCCCTCTCCAAAGAGGGCCCGGAGCCTGCTTCACTTGAAGCAGAGCCAGAAGGGCAGGAATTAGGATTCCAAAATGCCCTTTTCCATTTGCTGTCTAAGCAACCGGCCAAACACTCAAGCACCTGAGCAGAGACCCAGCTTCCCAGCGGCAGAGGAGAAAGGCTCGAGTTCAGGCACTTACTTTTTCTTGTCCTTGTCCTTCTTCAGGGGCTGCTGTGAGGTAGCCTGCAAGGATTGGGACTGCAAGGTCTCCACCGCTACTTTCCGCCTGTTGAAGGCGTTCATCTCTTCCTCCAGCTCCCTCCGCTTCTCCTCCACCTTCCTCTTCTCCTCCTGGTGTATCCTTTTCAAGTGCTCGAATTTCTCATGCAGCTGGAAGGAGACAGACGCCCTGAGCATCAATCCGGCACAGCTGCCATCAGGCTGCGCTGCCCCCGTGCCATGGTCACACCTCCCGCACCGATCCTGGCCACCCTCAGCCACCGACCCGCCGGTGGGGTACCCAGCGCCGTGCGATCCCCCGGGTAGAGCCGACCTCTGGGCAATCCCAGCCTCCTCGCCAAACCTGGAGCAAGCAAAAGGATTCAGCTCTGCCTGACACCACGTATCGGACCGGGAGAGAGCCCCAGGTAAGCGCGCTGGGGATCTCGCTCAGCCTGCAGCCCAGCGCAGCAGCTGCGGACATTGTGGGCTCTTCCGTTCCTCCCCAGCTTTGGAGATGGTCCGTTTAGTTCCTCCCCATCACAGCAGCTGCCCGCGGCCCCTCACTGCTGGCCTGGGGGACTCCAGCCCTCGTTGCTCTGCTGCCCAGTGAGCCCCCAGGGCCAAAGCTGACCTTACACAGACGCGTCCCGCATTGCCCTTCCCTCACCGAGCAGCAGCCACGTCTCCTACGCACCACACAGGACGGGGAATATTGTCTCCGAGACACCTGAAGCAGCGATGCTGATCTGAAAACACTGCCCCCATGTCCCTTTGAGGGGTGACAGTGTGTGTGTTTGTGCTCTGGCTGGTGAGGTCTGCTCAAGAGCTGCTTGTGCTTTCCACAAGGCCTACGCTGCCCAGACCCAGATCCTGTTGCTGGCTGTATTTTGGGCTCCTCTCACAGGTTTTTGGCACACCCACCTCTCTCTCCTTCTCCTTCAGCTCTGCCTCCGTCTCCTTGACTTTGTTAACAAACATCTGTCTCATTTCTTCCTCTTTCTTCTGGAGCTCACCCAAGAACTCTTTCCTTTTGGTCTCATATGTTTCTTGGAGGCTGGGGAGGAAAGCAAATGAAATCCAGACTCTCTGGACACCAATGAGTTAGAGATGGGGAAACACATGCCCGTCTGCACTGCTTAGAGACCAACAAGCAGGGAAGGGAATGCCAAAGTCAGCTGCAAAGTTCAAACCCAGCGCCGGACTTTTCCAGCCCGGCACTGCGGATACCACCTACAAACCTCCCATTTTTGGGGTGTCAGCACCAAACCGTTGCGCTGAATCGAGGCCAGCTGTGAAGGCGGCTCACCTGAAGGGCTGGCTATCTGGATCCGTGTCCTTGAAGCCCATCTCCTCCAGTTTGCACCTCCTGTACAGCTCATAGTGGCGAGTGTGAGTCTGCTCCCGAAGATCCTCCATGTTGACTCGGATCAGCATCTCCCGCAGTTTCACAAAGTCACAGTGACTCTCGTTCTCAACTGACAGAAGCAAAGGGAGAAGTCAGCAAGCTGCACACGCGGCGGGGGAGCTCGAGCACATGTACAGAGCAACCCCAGAGACCCCCCACCCGAGGGCCTGTTGTCCTGCACAGGGCCCAACGCAGCCCCTTGGATGCAGGGATTCCCACCGGGAGGGATGGGAGTTCAAAGGAAAGACTGGCCCACCCAGAGAACAGGGCGTTTCAGCACAGGGCACCCTCACGCAGCGGCACTGGCAGGATGGCAGAGCTGGCGAGGGTGCCAGCGCGCACCCAGGGGGTGTGTGGCGGGCGCCTGGCAGCTCCTTACCTTGCACCACTCCCCACGGGTACTGCCGAGCTCTCACCAGCTTGTTCCCAACCTTCACCTCCTCCGTGCTGCCCACCACAGCGAAGGGCAGATGAGCCTGAAACAGAGCCGAGGGGACTCAGTGAAGGGGCTAGCCCCGCCGAGATCGTGACATCCCCCTCACCCAGGCGCAGGGTCTACTTCAAAAAGTCCTTCCCTGAAGCCAACCGTCCCCAGTACTTGGAGCAGCCTCTACTACGAGCTGGGATATTACAACAGAGAGGAACCAGGGCCACAGCGTGGCTTCCTAGCAATGCTGGCTGGACTGAACAAGATGGGGAAACGTAGGAGCCCCACAAGTGTTCCTGCTCTCCTGCTGTCTGCGTGTCAGGGTGTTCTCGCAGCCGTAGGCTCCCCGCTGGGGCGCTCCCTGCCTTGCCGAAAGCACAGAGACATCTGCAAACCTCAGCACGGCAGTCTGTGCGGGCACGGGGAGGGAGACGCGCAGGATAGAGCGCGCGCTCATCGCTCGGCGAGCATCGGGCGCGCTACGGATGGCAGCGTCCGCAAGCACCGCGGGGAAGGAGCCACGGAGCGGGCGCTTCAGCATGGCGAGGCTGCCAAAACCCTTCACGATTAACAAGAAATGGATCCAGAAGCATGGAAGCGGAAGAGAAATGACCAAAAATATTTTCAGGGGAATGGGAGGGAAGGAAAAACAAAACCCACACCCCACCTCAAAGACCCCCACGCAAGCATGACTCCCATTTTTTCTCACCAGTGCAACACAGGCTGCAATTATTTTAAAAATCCTCCAAATTTTTCATGAGTTCAGCAAAAAATAACTATTATAGTGAAAATACATATCCAGGTGACCCAAAAATCAATTGGTTATTAACATTTTCCAATAAAAAAGGGAAGGTTGAAATTAAAGACAAAGCATTTGATCAGAACCAGCTATGCAGGAAAGTGTTCCTTTGGATGAAAAAGCTACTTTTTCCTCTAAAACAAAAAATAACATGGAGACATTTCAGCTGTTGCTGCAGCGATAGTTACTCTGATTTGGGAGATGGGAAACTTGAAGGTGTTTTGCACAGGCTCCAGCCAGGTCTGAATTTGATCTTTGAACTTAAAAAAAACAACAACAACAACAACAAAAAAACCTCAAAAAACCCAAACCCAAGACAAAACAGACACTAACAATTTTTCTTATTTATTTTAAATTGGGTTTTCTCTGCGCTGCCACCTCCAGTCCGGAAGCTAATGTTAATCTTAACTGGAGAATTCTTATGCAAATGTTCTCCCTCCTCAAACACGAAGTAGCCTAAAAGCAGACCCAATGAATTTTTAAGAAAGTGTTATTATTTCCAAAAACTCAATAAAACAGGTTTTAGAGCCGAGCTGACTTTCCCCAGAGAGCTCACAGATTAAATACACGCCTCGTTTTAATTAACACTGTACGCAAGAGCCGTAGGCATCTGTCAGAGCCACGGCTCAACTTCCAAACAGATTTAACATCTGGACAACCCCAGTGAAACTTGCCCTTCAAATGCTTTTTTGGGCAGCAATTTCGCCCGTCACAGCTTCCGGAGGCAGCACCCTTGGCAGCGCTACTCACGTTCATCACAGAGTTGATCTCGGCGACTGCTTCGTCGTCGGTGGGGAACTGGTAGATCTGCACCCCGTTGCTGACCAGCTCGCTCATTATCTTTATCTTGAACTTGTGCAGCTCGCTCTTGGAGATGGTGTCCGCTTTGGCGATGATCGGGATGATGTTCACCTACGGCACAAGGAAAGAAGGAAGGAAAAATGACCAGATGAGCCGTGGGGCAAGCAGCTCTGTGGGGTGCGTGGGTGCCCGTGGAGCGACCCCGCTCCAGCGGCCGCTTTCCATCTCTCGGATCCAGAGAGGTGCTGTGCTCTGCGTGCCGGCTGCAGCACCAGCCCAGCTCAACACTAGAGGGAAGAGTTTTCCAGGACTAATTTGGCTACAAGACTCCAGATAAACCGAACACGCTGCAATAAATACACAAGGAGCAGATCAAAGCCCCTGCTCTCACCTGTGTGTTTTGTTACACGCTTCGGGGGGCAGAGACAGCGTAGCTGTCACAGCTCCGCTTATCACCCACCGCCTCCAGCTGTGCCGACGAGCTGCCTGAGAAGACAGGCGCATGGATGTGAAGCCTTCCCGTGCTCAAGCAGAAAGAGCAGGGACTCCTCAGATGCTTCCCCAGCGGCTAAGGCTCCTTTCCGAGGACTCCCCGAGCCTCCCCGGGAAGGATCACGACGCAGGCACGCTGCGCGGATTACACGGACCACCCGGGAAAGGCGCCGGGTGCCGCACAGCGGGAGGTTTGTTTCCACGCTGCTGTTGCTCAGCTCTGGTTTCACATCAGCAGTCACAACACCCCACAGCCTCACCAACCCCTGTCTCAAAGCCACCCACGGGCTCCCCCCATGCCCAATACCCACCAGGATCGAGAGCAAACAAGGCCCACATCCTTCAGAGGGATGGGATTTGCTCTGGCCTTGTGCTTGGGAGAGCTGCAGCAGGGCAGGATCCCACAGGAACCTCTGATAGATAACGCTGCTGCGCCCGGAAAAGCCAAGGGCGATGCTGCAAACCACTGCGTAACCAACCAACAGCAAAACTCGGCTGTCGGAACAGCAGCCACCTTTGTAGCAGTGAAACAGAATTCAGAGAAACAAGGGGAATCTCGTTTTGCCATCTAGAATTTCCCAACAGCCAACGCTTTCTGTCCTAGAGAGCAGAAATTCGTAGCGGCTCCAGAGTGCTCGTTAAAATAAATGACCTTGCTTTTTCCCAGCTCAAGTTCTCCGTGTAGCTCGGTGGATTTTCCACATGTGTTGTTTTTTCTCCCCCCTCTGGTTTAGCACTCACTAAACACAAGAGCATTTGCTTGCTCCAAAATAAATCGTCATTGCTCATTGCAAATCTATCAGAGAGGAGAAATCCCTTATTTTGCTCAGCCACTGACCTGGTCTCCTTTCCCAAGGAGCACAACCCCCAGAACAAGGTCTGCTGCTCGCTCCACTCCTCGGCACGTCGACGGCCTCATTACAGGGGTAAAATGGGCCATGACTGCAGCCGGGTGCCTCGCTGACCTGCTCCGAGCCCAGGAGGCTTGGATCCCCCACCTCGCACAGAAAAAGGGGCAGCTCCGGGCTCACGTACCTCCCGCTCAGGAGCGGATCGGCAAGGGAAAGGCACTGCCAGGGAGCTGCTGCGTGCACGATTCGTGCTCTCCAGCCAGGCAGGCTGGCACAAACCAGCCTGATTTTTGCCCATTTCCAGTTAGTCTAGGCAATTCCTCCTTCCTCTTGTTTCCCAGAAACACCAGCTGAGCCCAGCTTACCGGGAAGCGCAGAGCCTGGAGCTTGGCCTGGCCGTCCCAGCAGCAGGAGCAGGCAGGCTCCCGTCACAGCTGCTGCCCCAGCAGTACGCCAAGACCCTGCAAAAGTCCCCTCCAACCAGGTTCCTCACGCCTCAAAACGGCCACTCAGCACCTGCTGCCAGCGACTTCCGAACCCAAAAGGGGTTTAGCACACCCAGTGCCATGCCATGGGTGTGCAAAAGAAAGGTCTAACCGAGCCCGGCTCCTACCAACCCCTTGTTAAACCGGTCTGAGAGGCCGAGCCGGCGAGCACGCAGCAACTGCCTCCAACACCCCTTTCGCCTCCACGCTTGGGCTGTAACCCAGGCACCATCAGCCCCGTGAAGCTTCCCGAGAGGAAAGCCCGGTACAGACGTGCTCCCAGGGCTGCAGACGTGGGCTGGTGCACGTCACCTCTGCGCAGCCCCCGTGACCGCTCGCTGGCCTGGAGCAGCAGAAAGCTCCTGGGGTTTGCTGATACCCCACGTCACTCCGTACACACGCTGGCCCCGGGCACCAACGGTTCACCTCCACTGGGAAAGGGGCTCAGCACCGTCACACACAAATCTTTAAGTGCCTGGAAAGCACGTTGATGTCCTGGGATAACACCAATAAAAAACCCAACATAAACCCCTGACGCCCAGAAAAGATCAACCCTCTCCACACGCTTCATTTCCACTTGCGTGCTTGTGCGAGGCCACCACCCCACGAAATCCAAGATGTTCTCACGCTGGGCTAAGGAGGGAGATGAGAGCAAAGGGACAAAAGGACTTCAGAGAGGATTGTTTAAGTGGAAGTTTAGAACTATAAAAAGCCTGTGTGTGCCCAAAGTTCTCCTCTCTGCACAAGTACAAAGCATTTATTCTGGTACTACGCAAGGACCACATTAAAGGCAGCCACAGGGAGATGTGAAAAGTAGGGAATGCAGAAGGAAAGGAAGAAAAGCTTTGTGGGACCACCAGCACCAAGGGGAATCGTGCAAAAGCTTTCCTCCAAACATATTTCTGGGAACATGTAATGCTGGCACCAGGCCAAGAGACAAGAGTTTATTAAGGGCAAGTTGTTGGATTCCTGATGAAGTCAGTGTAACAGCCACCACGGTTACAAACAGCCCACTGCAACGGGAAGCCAGCGCCGGCTCTGGAGCTGGGCCAAGGAAAAGCAGGCCAACAGCCCTGGGGTGGTGAGGGCAAACAGCAGGGACTCTGCAAGGGGGAACTCCACCAGCCAGGAAAGTCCTATAGAGCTGCACCTGGATGACAGCCAGAGAAGAGAGCGTTCCTGAAATGTAATCCATGGGATCCCAGCTGCCTGGCCTGGCCCCTTGGTAGCCTGGTCAGCATCTGCTATCTGCAAGGAACCACCTTGCTGCTAAAATACTGCTTGGAAAGACAGGAAATTCTTGCAAAGAGGAGATGCTGCTGCCACTAGTGACCTTTGAAGCTCCTGCTGCTCCCTGGAAGCCAGATGGAACAACCAAAAGTGTGTCAGAAACCTCCTCCGAGCTGCAGGAATATCAGCAGCAGCCCGTTAAGTAACCCCCTGCCCCCTAAGGCTGGGTAGCATATGCACAAAGCAGCAACCCCCAGCTAGACCCTCTCAGGCCCAGCTGACAGGTCAGGACAGCAGAGGTGGCTCCACAATTTCCACAGTTCACCTTACCTGCACACCCTAATGGGGAGCTAATAAAGCTGCAGCTTTATTCCCTGGTTCATATTTGGTAAGCAGGAACTAATCTGGGTAAGATTCTCAAGGTGATGGACACCAAAATGTACACAGCTAGCTGGAAAACAGGTTTTTCACCTTACATTTTTCAGGAAAGCCAGTGAGGAAACAAGCCCAGGACCTCAGCAACCAGGGCAGACGAAGATTTATCAGTCATACAAATAGCGCAGCTAACACTGGAGGAGTCCAGCACTTACACGGAAGGAACGAAACCTCCCACGTGACAATCAACGTTAACAGAAGCATCACAACTTCTAGAAAGAGGGACCATGGCCTCCAGCCCCTTACCTTGCTATCCAGCTTCTTCATCGTCACCAGGTCCAAGGATTTGAGCGAGTGTCCGGTTGGGGTGATGAAGTACAGGCAGACGTGGATCCTCGTGTCATGGTAGTTGAAGAGAGATCGGCGGATCTTCAGCTCTTCTTGCAAATAGTTTTCAAACTGCGTATCAATGTACTCAACGATCGGCCTGTAACTAAAACCATACCATTAGCAACCCAGGTACTGGAGTTCACACTGGAACGGTTTGAAGGCTTAAGGAGTTCTCCTAGACATACCACAGTATCACTTAAAAAGTAATTATAAGTCTTAGCGTTTAGCCTTACAACAGGAGCGTGGCATTTACACACAGACTTTATAATCCAAAGGTGGTTGGAGTCTCCCGAGGCTGCCCAGCAAAGCCTAAGGACAGTGGAGCATGGGAAGACGACTACTTCCCCGGATCAAACTTTGCCCAGACCTCAGGGCTGAGCCATCTGGCCGGAGGAATGCAACATGCCCACGGAGAGACCTTGGAGTCCAAAAAGCCTCTACCTGGGGCTTGAACAAGATGTCTGGGTAATTAAATGAGACAGGTCCAGAGACACCGATCATGCCAGAGCAGATAATTCCCAATCCTGCACTGAGGACAGCTTGTTAACTGCTCAGGCTCCTGGAGGACACCATTCCCTGCCAGGAAGACCTCCTGTGACCTCTCTCTTTGGCTCCTCACCCAACTCCCTCTACACTTAGTCCCCAGAACCAGAGCCACTGCAGGGAGCTCCTCCGTTAACGGAAACACGGCCACCTCCTCTGCAACATGCAGGCAGGACGGCAGGCAGTTCCTGCCTAAGCAGCAGAGGCCAGTCCAGAAATGCCAAGCAGATGGCACGAGACCTGCCTTTCATCCTTGTTTATCTGATCCCCAAATCCAACCGCATCCACGATCGTTAGCTTCAGGTGGACGTTGCTCTCCTGCAGGTCGTAGGTCCGTGGCCGCAGGCGAACTGCGCTCTCGTAGTGACTGGCTTCCTCCGTCTCAAACGTGGTGTTGAAGAGGGTGTTCATCAGCGTGGATTTCCCAATGCCGGTCTCACCTAGGAAGGAGAACTCCTCAGCTCGGCGCAGCATGAATTTGTCACAGGTACTTCAAAGAACGTTAAGTACAGAGCAGAACTAAACTGTACTGGGAAAGGTTACTACAAATTGCTTGTGGACAGATGGATAATTGTCACAAAGGTAACTGCATTCCTGGAGGTCACCCAAGCTTAACGCAAAGCTCACACAGCACCTTGGTCTCATCTCCCCCGTGAGGATTATCCAGCACAGCCAAACACGCTGCTTTCCTTCCCAGGTACCCTGACTTTACTTGGGATGCTGCCTCAGGGGAGCTGAGGAGAGCACAATTTTGGTAGTTTTTCTGAGTCTTTGGATGCAAAGGAGTAAATCTCAGCTGCTCCTACTGACAGGGAGTATCTGGGTCAGTTGTTGGCTGTCCCAAACCCAGCTCCAGGTAACTGCAGATCAGCAGGACACGATGGGTGTTTGGTGTGCTGTGGAGGGGACAGGGAAGCCTGGCCATGAGGTTTCCTCTCACTCTTTTCTGTGAGATTCCTGACTTTAAGAGGCTTCTCTACCATTTTCCCTCTTTGCTATATCTTGCCATTAAAGACCCCGGGGACCTGCCTTTTTTGGGAGTGGAGACCCCTGTGAGGAGGGAATCTGGGTGCATAACCCAGTGCAGATGTGCAGGCAGACAGCTCTGGACCTGCCAGGACAACTCACCATCAGACTGAAAATCTGTTTTTCACAACAGAAAAGAGGCTGGATGAAGGTTTCATGATTTCAGTGTGCAGCTGAACTTTGGTCTGCCTGGAAGCCTTAAAGCAGCTTGTCCCCATTCCACAGCCTCAACCCTGCAGTCCCACGTGTCCCATTAACAACCACCAAAGGACTAAAGCCCGTTCTGCTGTAACCCTTTCCCCCTCCATCCACACAGCAGCTACATCTGTGGCTCTTACTCTCCCCTCTGAAGAATCACTAGAAGCTCCACACAAGGCACTCAGCAAGCTGCTAAGATCGGGCTCGGTATGTGCAAACTGCCGGAGATGGTCCCACAGACAGTGTGTCTACGCTGAGGTGACGGGGCTACCTGTGCCATGGAGTGTGAGCTGGCAGCCCAGAGAGCCAACCCCATCCTGGGCTGGATCCGGAGCAGCGTGGGCAGCAGGTCAGGGAGGGGATTCTCCCCCTCTGCTCTGCTCTGGGGAGACCTCCCTGCAGTTCTGCCTCCAGCTCTGGGGCCCCAACAGCAGAAGGACACGGAGCTGTTGGAGCGAGTCCAGAGGAGGCCCCGGAGATGCTCCGAGGGCTGGAGCCCCTCTGCCCTGGGGACAGGCTGGGAGAGTTGGGGGGTTCAGCCTGGAGAAGGGAAGGCTCCCAGGAGACCTCAGAGCCCCTTCCAGGGCCAGGGGGGGCTACAAGAAAGCTGGGGGGGACTTTTTTACAAGGGGATGGAGTGACATGACAAGAGGTAACGGGTTTAAACTCAAAAGGGAGATTTAGATGCTGGACAGTCCCACATCCATTCCCTCCCTGCCCTCCTCACCAAAGGCAGAAAGTTGATACATTAAAGCTTTTCCCAAAACTCTAATTTTGGGCAACGAGTCTCCAACAGCCACTTGTGAAAGTCACAACCCAGAAGCACATCAAGCTCCCGAGATCTCAAGTTCATTGACATAATTACGCATCAAAGTTAGGCATTTCTGACTTGCTTCAAGTCTCTGCCGAGGCCTGAGGTGCAGCAGGACACACGGAAAATCCTGGTTCCGACCTCACCGCGCCGCCGGCTCAGCCCACGTCTGTTTGCAGAGGACGGTGCTCACCCACACAGAGGATGTTGAAGCTGAAGCCTTGTGTGACCGACTTGCTGACCAGCTGATCGGGGAGACTGTCGAAGCCCACATGGCCCCCCAGGGAAAGGTTCCTCTTCTCTTCATTCTGGCAGGGAGAAGAGGAAGGCAAATTAGCAGAACTGCACTGAGATGGCAAGTCAGAGACACAAGAGGAACCACCAAACCCAAGAAATAACCCTCCCTGGCACCGCAGAGCCACCAACACAAACCCTGACGCTGCCCGCAAGAGCTTGTGTTTTGGCAAACCACAGAGCACACCCTCCGACAGCCACCACCAACAGAAAGAGAGGGGAAAATACTGATCTTGGGAAAAATATTGATCTTCAGGGGAACGGGGAGAACTAAGCTACCAGGCTACAAAGAAAACACCAGCATGAGCTCCGGCTACATGCAGCTGGGAGATAATAGCAAAGGAAAACACACCACTATGTGGTTTAGCCCTCGTTTCTCCTCATCCTTTTTTATTTCCTTAAAGCCTCCAGCACTGAATTCAGCTTGACAGACTCTGCATTTCCTCCCGCCCCGAGGACTCGATCTTTTTCCCTTTGCTCTTGGCATGAGCAGCGTGGTTTTGTCCGCTCACGCACCCAGTGGTGCTGGTGGCACAGGCAGGGTGAGGAATCCTCTTGCTTTGCCATCTGTGACCGCAGTTTTCCACCATTTCTCTGCTGTTCCTGTTCCTGCCTCCCCCATATGCACTTTGTTCTCCCTTCTGTCTCCTCCCTCCCCCAGAGGAAGCTCATCACCTGTAGGAAGCTTTGCTTTGAAACTCAAGCAATGAACATCTGAAGAGATAACAGGTCTACACCCTGTGTTTTACAGAAAGGCAGCCCAGATCAGCTGTAATTCCAGAGGAGAGGATTCAAGATGGGTCTTTTCTCTTTCTAGTGGTTAAGAACAGTAGGTTTTAGGTTTACACGAGTGTTTCAACAGCTATTGCCACCTCTCTGCACAACCGAACAACATGCCCGAACCCAGGGAGTAGAGCACTGCCCTCGCATTCTTCCAGCTCTCTGGTCCTTCCATGGAGACGCAAGGATACATGATTTCACTGAGCTCACACTGAGATTTCACTCACCCTCACAGTTTCCTGGTAAAAGAGTCTGTTTTAGTTAATCACCAGCACACAGTGGAAGATTGGGATGGAAAATTCAGCCCTTTGTCTGGCCCAGGTTCTTCTGTCTGTCCCTGACAACTGGGACTTAATGTCCCAGCACTGAGGCTGGGAGACACTCAAGAGGACAGCGAGAGAAACGACGTGATAAGCCTTGCGTGTTGCTCTGCGCCTGCAGGAAGATCGCTCGGCAAAACACGAACCTTTGTTCGGCTGCCTCTCGAGTCAAAGGCGCCTTTAGTTCTGCCTCTGGTAGAACAAATGCTCTCCGCTTTGTAAAATAAACCATTTAAATCACAAGAACAACTTGAGAGCCGGTGAAGCAGCTCCGATGCCTCACGTGCAAACCCTCTGGCTCTGCGGGTTAGCACTGGCTACCAACTTTCCGATGATTCCAGCCCCGCGCTCTCCCAAGGGACTCCCTGGCCAGAGACACAACCGACTCGTAGCCGGGCTCCTGCCATCCATTCTCTTTCATCCCAGTGGGATCGATTGCGCCTGCTAGCTAAGCGGAAACAGCAATCGTTGAAAGTTTTCCTGTGGGAGAGACACCATCGATTAAGGCTTTAAGGTGGCCAAAAGTTGAGGTGAATTAAAAAGGGCTCCTAAGAGACGGAAACCTCCAAGTTACACTTTCTTCTGTTCATCTGCCACCACACCGAGCTGCTGGAGCTCTGCAGGGACAGACCCCAACCGCAGGACAATCCCCCAGCACACGGGGAGAAAAGAGAGTCCGTGCTGACCCGGCAGCCCGACGCTGAACCACGGACCCAGCCCGGGATGGCGCAGCCGGGACAGGGAACTCAAAGGGCTCCGTGTTGTTTAGGGAGGTTTTTTATCCCCTGAGGAGACTGTCACAAGGTGCAGGAAACCACCGCAGGGCTCAGGGGGCTTCCTCGGGCCCTCAGCCCCATCCCCTCAGCACCCACCTCTCCTCTTCCCCCGGAGCCACCACCTTAGAGCTTAAAATGTCCCCGCAACGCGCCAAGCAAGCTGTTCCCACAGAAAGTCACCCAGTTTGATGGTTACGCTTTGTGTCTTTTCGTTTTCAATAACAAACAAAAACAAGCAAACAAAAACACAATCCAGAAGCCTGGGATGACATTTTGGATGGGAAATAAATAAAGGCTGCCGATGGCTACGGATCAGGCTGAGAGTGCCCGAGGCTGGGAAGAGGTTTCCAGGCAACAGGCAGCACCACTGCTCGGGATTTTAAAATAGGCTCCAGCTCGGCAAGGCTGCATTTTAAAATAGGCTCCAGCTCAGCAAGGCTGCATTGAGAACTCAGTCATGCTTCGGCCGGAGGAAACCCAAACGCGATCACACAGGGCTTTCTTTTACCTCTTTTTTTTTTGGTTGGCATTTGGTCACTGTTCGTTTCAGGACACGAATAGGCTTACTCCAAACTCCTCGCCATCTCCTAAAGCTGCTAACCCAACAAGCCAAACTCCAGTGAAATACCTGCTGTCAGTGACCTTGAAACGCACAGTTTCCCTTATTTTCTGTAAGCAGCCGTAACAATCTGGTTGGAGTCCAAGACGCGGCCGATACCAAAGCAGAAACCCATTTGCTGTGCTTGCAGTGCGTTCAGCTGTCACCCAGCCTCCAAAGGCATTCTGCTGTTGCTGTGTTAGGACAAACAACGGCAATAAGAGTAAAAAGACTAAGAAATGAAAGAAAGAGAAAAGAGTAAAGTTCTCTCTGGTCTATTTTTTCCCTCCAATCCATCAAGTTTCAAAGCTCGACAGCCTGGCTCATACAGCCAATTTTTGCACTTGCTGGTGTCATTTGGTGTGTTGACCTGGAGAGGAACCAGCCCACTGCCCCAATGAGCAGCCACCGGCACTTCATCCTGCACCTACAGGTCTCAACCCAAAGGACTAAGCCTCCTGCCCAGCTCCCGCTCGCCCCGGCGAGCTCGAGGACACGCTGGCAGGGTTCTCCTGCTAGCAAAGATGACAAGGTCACACTCAACATCGACTTCTTCCCAGCAGAAGCAGCCAGCCTGATGCTCAGCGTAAATAATCAATGCAGAATGTAAATGCTGCAATAAATGAGGGCAGCAGAAACGCAGCAACGTGGGGGGCTGTGTTGGGTTTGTTTTAAACAAAAGCTATGGTTTTCAGGAGGATTTTTCCCACATTTGGTGCCAGCAGTGCCCCGGCAAGGCAGGGACAGGCAGGTCACGTGGCAGAGCTGGATGGGATCGGCCGTGGTGAGAGCCAGGCAGAAACACAGCCCTGCCCTTTCCAGTTGCACTGGTCCCTGCAACACCCCCGCCCTCCACAACGCCCCAGGAGAATCAGCTCCCTCATCCCACAGCCTGGAGAGAGAACTCGCCCGCTTCTTACCAGGCAAGACCCCATCCTGGGGCTGGAAACAGCCGTGAGGCCACCAACCTTTCCCAAAGCCCATGTGGGCATGTCACAATATGATAACTGGGAGTTTAGGATGGCTCCGAGGGCAAACTCCCACCATAAACAGCCGCTGCAGCCCTGAACCCCACTCTTCGAGTCACTAAGAGCATCCTATGATGCGCAGCTACCAGCGCTTTACTCCGAGCCTTTGAACATGCTCTTTGAAGATCTTCTATGCCTTGAGCTGACCTTCAGGGCTTGAAGCAGAGAGACAAGGGGATAATTTGTATGTTGAATGTGGAATTTCATGGGAAACTAAAGAATCATCAGAAGGTCAGAGCAGAAATTATTAATTTTCAAGTCGAAAGTCCTTTAAACATTTTCACAGATGCTCTGGCCGGGCTGAGGAGCAGCGTCTGTCAAGGCAACAGGCACGTGAATGGCACGGGGGCACGGCCATGGGAACAGCCGCCATCCCAGAGGGAAATCCATCTTTGGCTCTGCTTTGACAGCTATGTCACAGGACCCTTCCCCTGGCATGCAGCAGACAGACAGACATACCCTTGGCAGCACAAAAGGCCACACGCATCTGAGCACCACAACAACTGAAGCCTCCAAACACAGTGTTCCAAACCTGCCGTAAGGCACCAGCCACCCCAGCTCTGGGACATGCTCCGCTGGAGGCTGGGGATGCGCTTGGGATGCACGACGGCACGCTGACCCACCCTGCGGCCACACCAGCACGAAGCTGCCCAGGGAATTGAAACCAGCATTTCAAACCCACACCAGCTTCCTAAGCCCATCCACGGCAGGGTCCCACAAACATGCAGGGGAACCACGGGGCTGGGAGGAAGCAGGAGGGCAGCATCCCTGCAGGCAGCCGGCCACAAACCACATCCGTAGAAGATGGGATGTTATTTGCACCCTTATTGCAAGCGAGAAACGAGAAAAAGAGAAACACAGAGAGACCAACTCCAGATCCTTATAAGAGGGTTAACATGGTATTCACGAGATAATTCGGCTCTTCCTAGTAGACAGAGGGATTAAACAAACCGGTGAGGAAAAGCGGCACAGGCTACAGCACCAAGCAGCGTGCCTACGATCCTCTAGAAAAGACAGACATCTGACCCCAGTTTCTCTTCCAGCCTCCTCACGCTTCACCTCCAAATGAGCATCAGTTCCACTTTGCGTCATGATGTTTTTCAGCATCTTCTCCCATGAAAAGTGAGTTTATCGCTGCCTTCCCAAGCCGTGGGGGCTGTCAGCAGCGAGATCAGCTCTGCCCTCTGCCCCTCCGCTCCACGGCGTTCCCAGCCAGGGCTGCGGGCGCAGAGTGCAGCAGCTCACTGCTTGGAGACGTGCTGCCCCTGTTCTCCTCGCTCTCACACCAGCAGCGGTGCGAACAGACCGAGCTTGGATATAAAAACCATTCTGACATCAGCTGGTTTAAAAAAAAGGAAGGAAAAAAAGATACTGAGAAGTTTTCAGCGAATCCCACCAAGACACGTGCTGGTGTTTTCTGCTGGAGACAACCCTCGGGTCTGTTTTCCTGAGCCAAGCAGGTGAAAACACATGGGTAAACAAAAGCGTAATCGAATGCCACAACCCC